GCTGCACTCAGCTCTGCCACGTCCAACCCTTCAACCACGGGACCCTCCTGCCCACGCAGGGGATGGCACATCTGAACTTCTGACCCGGCTGGGGGCGGCCCAAACTCAGTTTTAAGGCAGTGATCTGGTTTAGATTCCTCTTTAATGGACTGAACCAGACACCCTCTCCTAGGTTTTATCAGATCTTCAGGAACAGCTGCACAGAAATCAAAGAATAATTACAGCCAGCCTCAGTTAAACACAAATCCAACCCTCCAGAAGCTTCTGGAGATCAAAGCTGTCACCTCCTCTTGTCCCTTCCCATTCTCTCCAGCAAGGAGGGGAAACAAGGAGCCCTCTGGGAGCAGCTAAAGCAGTGAATTATCACAGCATGAGCTTATTTTCATATTTGCCTCTAATGTGTCAAGGAGACCTCAGCCAGACCCTGAGTACAGCCAGGAATTATCCCCATTTACACACAGAACACACAGTAAGGAGACAGCTCTGAAGAGGAACATTTGTGGATACCTTCTTCTAATCCTACTGATACCCTGCCCAGGACGATGCTGATGGGCAAAACATCACTGGATCAAGAGGGAACTAAGAGTAAAATCTGTTGGGGAGAGCAATTTGTGCCCAAACTTCAGAGCTGATTTCTCTCCAGCCCAGCTGTTACCAGGACACCTCACCCATCAACCCCAAGAGACCAAAGACCTCTCTGCAGCTCTTACTCCACCAGGAGTCACAGGGACAAAGAGGGGAGCACCTCCTAAGTCGCCTCGAGTTCCCTGGGAAGGAAGGAGGCCCAACACTGAACACACAAACCCAACAGCTGGGCAAAGCTGATCCGAGTGCTCCCTCTCCTGAAAATTCTGTGCAACCCTGGGCAAGTCCAGTGGCACCCTGGGGTTTTAATTCCCACCTCCAGGAGGGAAGAGCCAACCTTTGATGGCCCCCAGTGGAAGGAGGGACTATCAGAGATAAAAAAAGAGGGAATGGCTGCTCCCATGCTCACAAATCCTCTCTCTCAAGTGTGAGGTGCCAGCCCAGCCCCCTCAGCCCGTCCTTACCGCCGACCTGGTGGATTTGTAGGTGACCCCGATGTCCTTGGCAGGGTCCTCGTCCTCGCTGCTGCTCGAGGCGTACTCCGGCCTCTCCCTGGGGCACCTGCGGGTCTGAGGGGCGACAGGGCAGGGACTGGGGGTGGGAGGGCCCAGCACTGGGCCTGGCTGGGCCTTTCCGTGCCCCCTGGGCGCTCCCCTTACCTTCTGGATCATGGGGTTGGGTGTCTCCCGCCGCCGCTCCTTCCTCACCACGGCGCTGGCCTCCTCCTCCCCGCTGCTCCCTGCGGGCACAGCCCGGCCTCAGCCTCTGAGGGGGCCTGGGGGCCCGAGGCCGCCTCCCCCGGGGCAGGGCCCTTCACCCCCCCGGCACCAGAACCACACAGAATAAACATCCTGAGCTGGGAGGGAACCCTCAAGGATCGTCCAGTCCAACTTCTGGCCCTGCACAGACACCCCAACAATCCCCCCCTGTCCCTCAGAGCGTTGTCCAAACCCTCCTGCAGCTCTGGCAGCCTTGGGGCTGTGCCCACTGCCCTGGGGAGCCTGTTCAGTGCCAACCACCCTCTGGGGGAAGAACCTTTCCCTGAGATCCAACCTGAGCCTGCCCTGGCACAGCTCCAGGGGTCCTTCTCCCCCTGTTCCACCCGGACACAGACTGAGGAGGGCGGCCGGGCCCCTCCGTGTGGGCAGCGCTGGGGGCAGCACCAGGCCCTGCCTCGCCTCCCCAGCGCACCGGCGCTGCCCGGCCCGGCTCCCCGCGCCCCCGGGGTGCCCCCAGCTCTCACCCTGCTCCTGGTCGCTGCCGGGCCGCTTCCTCCGTCCCCTGCCCGCGGCCCGGACCCGCTTCTTGAACACGAAGCTGCAGACACCGCTCTCCTCCGCCATCTTGTGCCACCGACACTGCGGGCTGGCGAACAGAGCGGCACAGGCGCGGCCGGCTCGGACAGCGCCCCCTGCGGGCCTGGAGGGCGCAGCGCCCCTGAGGGCGCCAGGCTGGGCCGGGGGTCCCTGGGCCTCTCCCCGATCCCGCTCCCCGATCCCCGATCCCTCCTTGCACCCTCCGGCGCCCCCTGCTCCTTCCTGTGGCCCTCCAGCCCGGCAGCGGGGGCGGTTTTTCCTCATTTCCCCGCCGGCTCCAGCGGGCCCGGCGGGTTTCCATGGCAACGGGGACGCCGCTGGGTCCCAGCGCCCCCCGGACCCTCCGGGTGGGCACGGAGGGGGGAACCCCGGACCAGGGGCCTGCACAGGACACGGGGTGTGCCCCGGCATGGCCCACTGCGTGGGGATGAGTGTGCACGTGTGTGTGTGAACATGTGTGTGTGTGTACATGTGTGTGTGAGAACATGTGTGTGTGAGAACATGTGTGTCCGACGTGTGTGTGCTATTTGGGCAATGCAGGGTGACAGAGCTGCTAAATCACATCGCTGCTGTCTCCTTGCCCAGTTCCCGGGAAAATCCCAGCCCTCCAAACCCCGGGGGAAGCCGCCCTCACGGTCCGGGCAGTGCTTTTACCCCCTGCCCTGGCACATCGGCCTCCCACAGCCCCACAGCTCCCACGCCCGGCTCTCCATGGAATAAAACCTGGATTTCTGGAGCCATCACCGCCCAGCTCTGCTCCCCCGGGAGGTGAGAAGTGGGGAGCAACGGGATTCCCCTTTTCTGCAGCTGCCTGATAAGATTCTTCCTCTGCAAACACTTTGTTGAGGGGTGTGTGTGTGTGTTGAGGGGGGGGAATTCAGCTTTCACCGACCCCTGAGGGGACGGATCCTTTGGGATGCTCGGGAGAAACCTTCCATGAGTGGGTGGGTGAGCCCGAGGCCGTGTCCAAAGTCTGGAGCGAAGCCAGTCTGGAGGGAGGGGGAGAGGATGGAAAAGCTAATTACGAGTGGGGGATTGATGGTAATTACACCCGCTCCGCCAAAAAGCGGGAAGAGACTCTGGTGGGGTCTGCAGCGCTGAGCCGGGGAGGGGTCTGGGGGTCGG